CGCTGGGGCCGCGCCCGGTCCGGCGACGCGCACCCCGCACTCGCGGCCCCGCTCCATTCCCGCACCCTTCCCGGACTGGCCCAGTGAGGAGACACCGGCCCGAGGGGGTGCAGGGGCTGCTGAACCACCTTGCGGCCCTGGGGGTGCGCCCGGGGAGCGGCCTTTGCTCACGGGGCCCTCAGCGCCCAGGCACCCCAGGGCGACTTCTCCAAACCCAAACGGACCCCCTCCAGTCCAGGGTGGGCGCCAGGCACCCCAACTCCGCAGCTCCCAGGAGACAGTCTCCCTGGAATGGAAAGGGGCAGAAAACACCTTGTGCACAACAAATTCCAGGAAGCAGGCTGCCCCGGGCTGCAGAGAGCGCGCCCCGCCTGGCACCCCTGCCCAGGGCCAGCAGAGGCCGCCTGGGGAAGGCCTTTCCCCGGCCAGCTGCTCCAGGAACAGCCCGCCCGGCGGGGGCAGCAACTGCAAGCCCCTGGCTGCCCTGGGCCTCAGCCCCCGGCGCCTGCCCAGCCCCCGCGGACTGTCCTTGGCTGTCCCAGAGCTCCGCCACCACGGCCAACACGGCCGGCCGCCTCTGGCTCTCCTCCACTGGGGCTCTCTGACTGGCACCTCAGCTTCCTCACTTCGCCTGAAACCACCCCCTAAAGGTGATGAGATGTGGGGTCCAGCGAGCGGGGTCCTGGGGCTCCCCCCGAGGAAGAGTTCCTCTTTCAGGGCAGACGGAGAGTTCGCCAAGGACAAGCTGTTCGGGGCTGTTCAAAGGGCGGGGTTCTGAGCTTCAAAATGGGGGGAGAACCACTTGCAGACAGCTGCTGCAGGACGGGCTGCTGGCAGAGGCCGCCGGACGGCCGTCTCGGCGCTGCCCGAGGCCCGAGGAGGGGCTGCCTGGGTCCTGGCCTTTGGGGGTGCAGTCCTCTGAGGAACGTTACCTACTGGTCAGTCGGCCACTCTGGCGAGCCCTGGGCGCCTGTCCGGACCTGCGTCTCCACAGCGCCTCCGGCCTGTGCACCGAGGGACGGCGGCCCCGGGCCTCCTCGGCCAGTCTCGGGCCTTTTCCTTTCCCTGCCCGGTCCATGCCAAAGGCCCCCCGCACCCTGCCTCTCGGCCGGAGGCCCCCCCCGTTTCGGCATCAGCACCCCTCAGACCCAGTGAAACACCTTCCGGGAGCGAGACCCAGCTCCTGGGTGCTGGACGAGTCGAAAGCGCCCAGTCCCACGCTGGGCCGCGCCGGCCACTCCCGGCCCGTCTGCATGGGCACCCTGACCCCGCCTTCCGGGTGCGCTCAGGCTCAGGTCGCCCCGTCTCTGCTGCAGGCTTCGCTGCTGGCTCGGCTGCGGGGCCGGCTGACCCGCGCGGAGGCCCCGAGCCGTGTCAGCCCGCTGGGCGTCCAGGCAGCTCCGGCAGCTTCTCTCAGAGTGCGCCTGTGCGGCCCGCGGGCCGGGGCCTGGGAGGCAAGTGACGGCAGATATTCCAGATGAAACATACCACGCTTTGAAGGGCAGCCCTGGCATTCTGGTGAACCCCCTTTATGCGGGCATGGCCCAGGCCCGGTTCAGGACGGAGGGGCCAGAGGCCGTCACATGGACAGTGTCTGTGCCAGGCCTCTGCACGGTGAGAGCTGCTTCTAGCTGCTTCCAGCCATCAGGCAGCTTCTACCACAGTTGCATCTTTTTCGTTTTTAAAGATTTATTTACTGACGCACACAAGGGCTGGGGTGCAGGCCAGCGGGGGTGAGAGGGTTCCCCAGAGACAGTGGGGAGCAGAGCAGGCAGATGGCCTAGAACCACCCCTAGGGGGCAGCGGGGGACAGGAGGGGCTGCTGCGCCCTGGGGCCCCGAGCCCCGCTGCAGGGGCCGCGGCCACCTTCACAGTGCCGCGCTGTCACCGTGGCCACCAGGAGGCCCACGGTCGCACTGTGTGCCAGCAGGGCCCGGGTCGCGCCAGGGCGGCCCAGGCCGCGGGGGCAGGGAAGGGAGGAGGCCTGGGGAGGGGCCAGAGCACCAAGGGCTGCACACGGGCCAGGCCTGGCCTTGCTCCGGGGCCTGGCGCGGCCTCTGCGCCCTCCGGCTTTGCCGCTTCTGTCCCGGGGCTTCTGTCCCCGGGCTTCGCCCGTCCCTGCGGCCCCCGGGGGCCTTCGACGGGTGGCTGGCTCCGGCAGGCTTGGCTGGGCGCCGCCGCGGGGTGGGCTGCTTCCGGGGCTCGGCTCCCCCTTCGGCCTCCTCTCCCACGGCACCCCAGTGGGCGGGAGCTCCTCGTGGGGCTTCATCTCGGAGTGCCGGTGCAGGACCTACTTGGAGCCGGGGGCTGGGGCCCCTCCGTGCCCGGGCCGGGCCAGGGCGTCTCCCGGCTGCACATCAGAAGGGTCGGGCAGCAGCCGGGCAGGAACTACCACAGGCAGCAGGGCTGGGGGGCGGGGAGCCCCGAGACAGGGAGGCGGCGGCCGCCTCACAACCTCGCAGGCTAACGTGCGCCCCACCGGGAGCAGAAGCAGGGAGGCTGGAGGGTGCTGGGGGCCTGAGGATGGGCCTGGGGCGGCTGCAGCAGAGTGGGGCAACCGCTCCCCAGGCCCGGGGCGTGAGGCCTTGGCGACTGCCACACTGTGCTCCCAGGCAGCCGCTGGGCCTGGGGGCCAGGGGGGCTCCCCTCCACCTCAGAGGAGACACCTCCCGAGGAGCTACCGGCTATGTCATGCACAACTCCCGCTCGCCCCACCTGGGGCAAAAGCCTCGAAGAGGACTGAGGGTGGGGTCCCCGGGCAGCGCCCGCCGGGCTCTGCGCCAACACCCCAGGGGGCCTCACTGGCCAGGAGCCCGGCTGCGGGCCGGGAGCCGGGCTGGGCGCTCCTCACTTCGCTTTCCGAGGCAGGTGGTCAGCTACTGAGGAGAGGGGACGGGCGGCCTCCGAGCTGGACGGCCAGTGAGCCCGCGCCGCGCCGCAGGGACGCGCAGGCGGACAGAGCCCCCTCGTGGTGCCGGTTTCCTCCCCGGGGAACGAGCCAGGCCTGCCAGCCTCAGACGGGGCAGCCGGAACCCCTGGGGTCTGGCCACGTGGCCGTCAGGGTGACCGGTGCTCGGGCCGCGCCTGTGCTGGCTGCAGAGACACATCCAGCTCCGGCTCCAGGACACTCTGAGGGGACAGACGCGGGGAGGGGGGCAGGCGGCTTTGCTGCAGGTGCCGAGGGGCGCCAGAGTCCCCGAGGGGCGCCGTCTCATGCCCGAGGGCTCGAGAAAACACCTCGCGCTTGGAAAGAGGGACGTCGGCAGAGGGGACAGGTGCGGAGGCCAGACCCGCGGACGGCCCCGGAGCAGAAGCCCGATTGTCCTGACCGCCCTGCACCGCGGACAGACGGTCACCACGGATGCGCCTTGTGGACCCCGGGGCGCGCCGCGTCGTGAAGCCAGTTGGGGTGACTACTTGGCTCCCGTTACGTTAAGGAAAGCTTACAGCCAACACGCTCCCGGTTTGCTGGGTGGCCAGGCCACGCTGCCCACCTTCACGACAAGGTCCTGACGTGGGGGGTCCTGAGAGTCAGGACAGGCCACGGCCGGCTCCGGGGGTCTCTTCGTGTGCTCGTGGCCGTTTCCGGAGCGCGGCGATCGTCCGCACGCAGACTCAGGGTCCAACCAGTGACCGCTTGGCCGGGCTGACGCCGGGGAGCAGCAGCCGGCCCACAGAGCAGCTTGGGGGAGGCGA